AGAATGATTTATCTTAACCGAAAACAACAAATTTTTTCTGAGAGTTATGACTATTGGTTAATCTATGAGTTTTATGTTTGATCCTTGAATAGGTTAAGGTGCTGACAATCTGTGAATCGAGATGCAATGATGACCCGGCCGGTACATCCATGCTCCCTTTTCCCTCCTTTTGCTGAACGAGTTTGTGTTTGATGCTATTGCTATTATGACACGAACATTAGAAGCTTTTATTTAACAAGAATTAGCAATTTCTATCTTCCAGAGGAACCTGAAGATGCCCATGAAAAAGAAGAGAGATCATACGGTTCTGTCATGATGGAGAGACTCACAGGGAGTGTAGATGGGCGAATTGATCATGTATTACAAGTATGTGCTTTTGCCATTTCGAGTGTGTGCTTTGTATTTTCCTTTGTGCATCTTTTCTTGAGTTGGATAAATTGGTCATAACATTGATAATTTTTTGTCTGAGAGTATAAGGGGCAATGATCATATTCTTTATGCTTTTTGTTGCTGCAGGATAAAACTTTCCGACATCAGTACTTATCAGCTATCGGGTCACATACGTAAGAACAGAGTAGCTGTGCTATAATTTAATGTCTTGCTCTGGATTTAGTCTTCGGATTCTGCCAACCAAAAAATAAAATAATATCAAACATTGAATCGTTTAGGAATAGTTAAAAAGAGTAATTCCATATACACAAACTCCCCCTGAAGTGTGGTTATAGCTAAATTGGACAGGATCTACTAATTTATAAATGTAGAAGTTCTTATATCTTCTCACTTATGAAGTAGAAAACGGTAACAGTGCAACAAACGTCAAGTCGAGGATTTTGCTTTTGTTGTTTTGAAACGACATAGAAAAAATATTATGTTGATCTATTTTTCTCCGCAGAAACTATTGGAGAGATCACGATACGGCCCTGTTTATTTTGAAACACTTGTATCGTGAAATAGCAGATCATGAACCCACCTCGCCAGACGAGCAACCTGAATGCAGCTCCAAGGGTGAAAGTAGCTCAGGAAGATGGTCTGACCCTAATGATTTGGCCGACGAAGAACTTCCGTTGACCTTTGCCAACAGCATATCCATTAAAAACTTCTCGTATAAAGCTAGGAAAGCAATGGAGAGATGATATTATCCTTGTTTAACATAGTATACTGCTTACAACAAGCTCAATCTCAATAGAAAAGTCGAGGCAATCATGTCATTCGAAGTGGGGAAGTAATTAGCGGCATCTTTTTTCGATCGGTTAGCTTTAGTTGCAACTAATGTTGACTTGGACTTGCTGTCATAGAGATCTGCGGTCTTTGAACTATGTGGAAAAAATAATGATGGTGAAAAAAATTGCAAGAGAAGATGGTAGTTATGAATTATATGGGGAATGTATATAGA